TCGCTTGCGGCTGGGATTGGCATCGTCCCCGACTCCTCCTGATGTCGAGGGTAAATGGGCGAGGTTTAGGACTGTGACTCATGCAGCTGCAATGGCTGCTTTGGGTACGCGGTCCAGACCTCCCCAGACACCCTGGATGACAGAGGAGTTGTTCACGATGGTTGAGAAAAAGCGACAGGCCCACTGTCATCGGCTACAGAGTCCCACGTCAGAGAATGAGGAGGCTTACCGCAGCCTTCGCTCGGAGGTTCGGAGAGCCGTGAGGCGCTGCAAGGATGGGTGGTGGTCGCGGGTTGCTGAGGAGATGGAGTCTGCCTCAGTGGCCCGTGATCACAAATCTCTATTTAACTCCATCAAAAAGTAACCTGCAGCGCCACACCTATTACCATCATTAGGGGAAAAAAACGGCGATCCAATTTCCGACCCCCAGGAACAGGTTCGCAGATTTGCTGAGCATTTCTGTGAGGTCCTGGGGGAGGGAAAATCCCTCAGCCAGGAAAACATCGTGGCACAAAGTGAGGATGACCCTGTTGAGGCTGCGGTGCCTCAAATATTGGATGAAGTCACCCCCTGTGAGCGGCTGGCTGAGGTGCCATCTGCTAAGGAAGTATTGAAGGTGATCCGGAGTCTGAGACCAGGAAAGGCAGCGGGCAGAGATGATCTTCCAAGCGAAATGCTGAGGGAGGGTGGCGTTTGTGCACAGACTGCCCTATATGACATCATAACAACAGTCTGGACCACTGGACGGGTTCCGCAGGATTGGAAGGATGCCCTGGTGGTCCCCCTTTTTAAGAAGGGGGACCGCACAGACTGTAACAACTACAGGGGCATCTCACTCCTCAGTGTGCCGGGAAAGGTCCTGGCAAGGATTATTCAGCATCGCCTTGCCAGGCACGCTGAGGAGAGGCTTGCGGAGCCCCAATGCGGTTTCAGGAAAGGGCGGTCCTGCACAGATGCCATATTTTCTGTCCGTCTGCTACAGCAGAGGTGTAGGGAATTCCAACAAGACCTACATCTCTGCTTTATTGACCTGGTCAAGGCCTATGATACCATCAGTAGGCCTGGGCTCTGGGTCGTTCTTCGTGCTTTTGGAGTACCTGACCCTCTGCTCACGATCATTAAGGACCTTCATGATGGTGAGCGGGCCCGGGTAAAACTACGTGGCCGGGAGTCAGAGCCATTCCCTGTACACCTTGGGGTGCGACAGGGATGTCCTCTGGCTCCCACATTATTTAACATCTATTTTGACCACGTAGTTCGTGAAGCCTTCAATAGCTGTACCGGGGGAATCTCCATATGGTACAGATATAATGGGAGGCTAATCGATGCCCGGGTGCGGTCAAGGGATGGCTCCCTATTGCTCAACCACGTTATGTATGCTGATGACTTGGTAATAGCTGCTCAGTCAGAGGAGGAGTTGGAGACGCTGCTGCTGAGACTGGAGCGTGCCACTAAGAGGTGGGGCCTTACCATCAGCCCCACCAAAACCAAGCACCTGCCTGGGTATTTTGTACCATCGGACACTCCACCCCCACAACTCCCAATCGGTGATGGGGCAGTTGTGGAGAGAGTGGAGAGTTTCCCATACCTGGGCAGTGTGCTTATGACTGGCACCAGTTTAACAGCAGAGGTCTCACTCCGAATCAGTCTAGCGGCAATATCTTTTCATCGGTTGCGTAACGCTGTGTGGAAGCTACCTGGTCTGTCGCTCCGCACTAAGCTTCAGGTCTTCTCGGCCACGGTCATTCCCTCCCTTCTCTACGCTTGCGAAACGTGGACCCCCCTAATGGAACATCTTCGCCGGTTAGAAACATTTAGGCTGGCCTGCCTACGATCCATCCTGGGTTTAACCAGACTGGATTGTGTGAGGAGCTCACAAATCCTTGAAAGATCTGGGCAGGGTCCCATCGGTGAGCTCCTCCGGCAGGCAAGGCTGCGATGGCTGGGTCATGTAGCCCGCATGCCCAGCCACCGCATGCCGAAACAGCTTTTGTTTGGCCGGATTGAGGGGGCTAAGCGGGCGCGGCACGGGCTAGAGAAGAGATGGAGTGATGTGGTACAGGAGGACGTGGAGCTGAGTGGACTTGCCGATGACTGGTACCAGCGGTGTCAAGATCGGCCTCTGTGGAGGAGGCTCGTGAAGGATGCTACTGGGCAGTTGGAGGCAGTCGCCCTCCAACAACAACGGAGGGCGGAGGAGCGACGCTCACAACAGCGAGCGGAGCGCCGGGTGGCTAAAGCACAGCAGGTTGGCACAGTAGGGGGCACAGGTGGTGCATCAGCCAGTCATCTCAGTCAGTCGACCCGTGGCACCTGGGTCTGCCCCGTGACCTCCTGCCAGCGGGCGTTCGACACTTCACGTGGCCTCAGGGTGCACATAGCCTGGCACAAGCGTCGTGGTGACGTCACCGCCACTTAGTGGCGAATGGCGGTTGTTGTTGTTGTTGTAGGTGTGTGTGTGTAGGTGTGTGTGTGTAGATGTGTGTGTGTAGGTGTGTGTAGGTGTGTGTGTGTGTGACTGTATGTGTGTGTGACTGTGTGTGTAGGTGTGTGTGTGTGTGTGTGACTGTGTGTGTGTGACTATGTGTGTAGGTGTGTGTGTGTGACTGTGTGTGTGTGTGTGACTGTGTGTGTGTGACTGTGTGTCACTGTGTGTGACTGTGTGTGTGTGACTGTGTGTGTGACTGTGTGTGTGTGTAGGTGTGTGTGTGACTGTGTGTGTGTGTGACTGTGTGTTCACACCCGATAGTCTCATGCTGGACGTGCTTGGCGTCCAGGGAAGTGTAGAGTTCAGCACAGGGTGTGAACGCCCCAGCCGTGGTGTGTAGGTGTGTGTGTGTGTAGGTGTGTGTAGGTGTGTGTGTCACTGTGTGACTGTGTGTTCACACCCGATGGTCTCGTGCTGGACGTGTTTGGCGTCCAGGGAAGTGTAGAGTTCAGCACAGGGTGTGAACGCCCCAGCCGTGGTGTGTAGGTGTGTGTGTGTGTGTGTGTAGGTGTGTGTGTGTAGGTGTGTGTGTGTTCACACCCGATGGTCTCGTGCTGGACGTGCTTGGCGTCCAGTGATGTGTAGAGTTCAGCACAGGGTGTGAACGCCCCAGCCGTGGTGTGTAGGTGTGTGTGTGTGTGTGTGACTGTGTGTAGGTGTGTGTGTGACTGTGTGTGTGTTCACACCCGATGGTCTCGTGCTGGACGTGCTTGGCGTCCAGGGAAGTGTAGAGTTCAGCACAGGGTGTGAACGCCCCAGCCGTGGTGTGTAGGTGTGTGTGTGTGTGTGACTGTGTGTGTGTGTGACTGTGTGTGTGTGTTCACACCCGATGGTCTCATGCTGGACGTGCTTGGCGTCCAGTGATGTGTAGAGTTCAGCACAGGGTGTGAACGCCCCAGCCAGTGTGTGTGACTGTGTGACTGTGTGTGTGACTGTGTGTCTGTGTGTGACTGTGTGTTCACACCCGATGGTCTCGTGCTGGACGTGCTTGGCGTCCAGTGATGTGTAGAGTTCAGCACAGGGTGTGAACGCCCCAGCCGTGGTGTGTGTGTGTGTGTAGGTGTGTGACTGTGTGTAGGTGTGTGTGTGACTGTGTGTTCACACCCGATGGTCTCGTGCTGGACGTGCTTGGCGTCCAGTGATGTGTAGAGTTCAGCACAGGGTGTGAACGCCCCAGCCGTGGTGTGTGTGTGTGTGTAGGTGTGTGTGACTGTCTGTGTGTGTGTGTTCACACCCGATGGTCTCATGCTGGACGTGCTTGGCGTCCAGGGATGTGTAGAGTTCAGCACAGGGTGTGAACGCCCCAGCCGCCGCGTACAGCCGCAGCAGAAGAAGCTTCAGCTGGGCACTTGACGGGCTGTGGGACAGCCCCTCCTCTAGCAGAACTACAGCCCTCCACGGCTCTACACACACACAGTCACACACACACACAGTCACACACACAGTCACACACACACACAGTCACACACACAGTCACACACACACACACAGTCACACACACACAGTCACACACACACAGTCACACACACACACAGTCACACACACACAGTCCCTCCTCTAGCAGAACAACAGCCCTCCACGGCTCTACACACACACAGTCACACACACAGTCACACACACAGTCACACACACAGTCACACACACACAGTCCCTCCTCTAGCAGAACAACAGCCCTCCACGGCTCTACACACACACAGTCACACACACAGTCACACACACAGTCACACACACAGTCACACACACAGTCCCTCCTCTAGCAGAACAACAGCCCTCCACGGCTCTACACACACAGTCACACACACAGTCACGCACACAGACACAGTCACACACACAGTCACACACAGACACAGTCACACACACACAGTCACACACACAGTCACACACACCCACACAGCCCCTCCTCTAGCAGAACTACAGCCCTCCACGGCTCTACACACACACAGTCACACACACAGTCACACACAGTCACACACACAGTCACACACACACACAGTCACACACAGTCACACACACACACAGTCACACACACACAGTCCCTCCTCTAGCAGAACTACAGCCCTCCACGGCTCTACACACACAGTCACACACACACACAGTCACACACACAGTCACACACACACACAGCCCCTCCTCTAGCAGAACTACAGCCCTCCACGGCTCTACACACACACAGTCACACACACAGGCACACACACACACAGTCACACACAGTCACACACACAGTCACACACACACAGTCACACACACACAGTCACACACACACAGTCACACACACACAGTCACACACACAGTCCCTCCTCTAGCAGAACTACAGCCCTCCACGGCTCTACACACACACACAGTCACACACACAGTCACACACACACACAGTCACACACACAGTCACAGTCACACACACACAGTCACACACACACAGTCCCTCCTCTAGCAGAACTACAGCCCTCCACGGCTCTACACACACAGTCACACACACACAGTCACACAGTCACACACACACAGTCACACACACACAGTCACACACACACAGTCACACACACACAGTCACACACACACAGTCACACACACAGTCCTTCCTCCAGCAGAACTACAGCCCTCCACGGCTCTACACACACAGTCACACACACAGTCACAGTTACACAGTCACACACACAGTCACACACACAGTCACACACACAGTCACACACACAGTCACACACACAGTCACACAGTCACACACACAGTCACACACAGTCACACACACACAGTCACACACAGTCACACACACAGTCACACACACAGGCACACAGTCACACACACAGTCACACACACAGTCACACACACAGTCCCTCCTCTAGCAGAACTACAGCCATCCACGGCTCTACACACACAGTAACACACACACACAGTCACACACGCAGTCACACACACACAGTCACACACACAGAGTCACACACACACAGTCACACACACAGTCACACACACACAACAACAACCGCCATTCGCCACTAAGTAGCGGTAACGTCACCACGACGCTTGTGCCAGGCGAGTTAAACTGAAATATGTAGCCTGGCACACACACACACACACACGTGTTACACACACACACGTGTTACACACACACCTGTGCTACACACGTGTTACACACCTGTACTACACACGTGTTACACACACACTTGTTACACACCTGTACTACACACGTGTTACACACACAGTGTTACACACACACCACGTGTTACACACACACCACGTGTTACACACACACACGTGTTACACACACACACGTGTTACACACACACACACACGTGTTACACACACACACACGTGTTACACACACACGTGTTACACACACACGTGTTACACACACATTTGTTACACACACACACACACTTGTTACACACACACACACACGTGTTACACACACACGTGTTACACACACACACGTGTTACACACACACACGTGTTACACACACACATGTTACACACACACACACACTTGTTACACACACACACACACACACGTGTTACACACACAGTGTTACACACACACACAGTGTTACACACACACACGTGTTACACACACACACGTGTTACACACACAGTGTTACACACACACACGTGTTACACACACACGTGTTACACACACACGTGTTACACACACACACACGTGTTACACACACACACCTGTACTACACACGTGTTACACACACACACGTGTTACACACACACACACGTGTTACACACACACACACGTGTTACACACACACACACGTGTTACACACACACGTGCTACACACACACTACGTGTTACACACACACACACGTGTTACACACACACACACGTGTTACACACACACACGTGTTACACACACACACTTGTTACACACACACACGTGTTACACACACACACCACGTGTTACACACACACACGTGTTACACACACACACGTGTTACACACACACACACGTGTTACACACACACACACGTGTTACACACGTGTTACACACACGTGTTACACACGTGTTACACACACACACACGTGTTACACACACACACAAACTTGTTACACACACACACGTGTTACACACACACACACACGTGTTACACACACACACGTGTTACACACACACACACGTGTTACACACACACGTGTTACACACACACACACGTGTTACACACACACATGTTACACACACACACACGTGTTACACACACACATGTTACACACCTACACACCTGTTACACACCTACACACGTGTTGCACACCTACACACGTGTTGCACACCTACACACGTGTTACACACACACACGTGTTACACACACACACACGTGTTACACACACACACACACACACGTGTTACACACACACACACACACGTGTTACACACACACACGTGTTACACACACACACACGTGTTACACACACACACACGTGTTACACACACACGTGTTACACACACACACACACGTGTTACACACACACACACACGTGTTACACACACACACGTGTTACACACACACACACGTGTTACACACACACGTGTTACACACACACACACGTGTTACACACACACATGTTACACACACACACACGTGTTACACACACACATGTTACACACCTACACACGTGTTACACACCTACACACGTGTTACACACCTACACACGTGTTGCACACCTACACACGTGTTGCACACCTACACACGTGTTACACACACACACGTGTTACACACACACACACGTGTTACACACACACACACACGTGTTACACACACACACGTGTTACACACACACACACACACGTGTTACACACACACACACGTGTTACACACACACACACACGTTACACACACACACACGTGTTACACACACACACACGTGTTACACACACACACGTGTTACACACACACACACGTGTTACACACACACACACGTGTTACACACACACACACACACGTGTTACACACACACACACACGTGTTACACACACACACACACGTGTTACACACACACACACCACGTGTTACACACACACACGTGTTACACACACACACACACGTGCTACACACACACACGTGTTACATACACACGCACACACGTGTTACACACACACACACGTGTTACACACACACACACACGTGTTACACACACACACACACACGTGTTACACACACATACACGTGTTACACACACACCACGTGTTACACACACACCACGTGTTACACACACACCACGTGTTACACACACACGTGTTACACACACACTTGTTACACACACACACACGTGTTACACACACACGTGTTACACACACCACGTGTTACACACACCACGTGTTACACACACCACGTGTTACACACACACACACACACGTGTTACACACACACACACACGTGTTACACACACACACACGTGTTACACACACACACACGTGTTACACACACACACACGTGTTACACACACACACGTGTTACACACACACCACGTGTTACACACACACCACGTGTTACACACACACACACACACCACGTGTTACACACACACACACCACACGTGTTACACACACACACACACACCACGTGTTACACACACACACACCACACGTGTTACACACACACACACCACGTGTTACACACACACACACACACGTGTTACACACACACACACCACACGTGTTACACACACACACACACACCACGTGTTACACACACACACACACACACGTGTTACACACACACACACGTGTTACACACACACACACACGTGTTACACACACACACCACGTGTTACACACACACACGTGTTACACACACACACGTGTTACACACACACACACACACACGTGTTACACACACACACACGTGTTACACACACACACGTGTTACACACACACACGTGTTACACACACACACACGTGTTACACACACACACACACACGTGTTACACACACACACACACTTGTTACACACACACACACACCACGTGTTACACACCACGTGTTACACACACACACACACGTGTTACACACACACACACACACACGTGTTACACACACACACACACACGTGTTACACACACACACTTGTTACACACACACGTGTTACACACACACACACACGTGTTACACACACACACACACGTGTTACACACACACACCACGTGTTACACACACACACACACGTGTTACACACACACACACGTGTTACACACACACACGTGTTACACACACACACGTGTTACACACACACACACACCACATGTTACACACACACACACACGTGTTACACACACACACACACGTGTTACACACACACACACACACGTGTTACACACACACACACACACCACGTGTTACACACACACCACGTGTTACACACACACACGTGTTACACACACACACGTGTTACACACACACACTTGTTACACACACAC